TTCTATCCCATTTGTTTTTGATACCTGGTGTGCACCTTAGAGATTTTTTAATCGTTTGTATTACTTACCTTCTTGAATCCTTTGATTTGTTCCATTCTCCATAAATGTGTGTGGTGCCCTCTTGCCTCCTGTTGTGAAACTGCCTACTAACCCTGGCTCTGGTGCTTCTGCCCCTCTGTTGAGGCTCTGCTGCCCTCTAGGGGTCGAGTTTATCATGTACCTTTTAGGACTCAGTCCATCTGCCCTGGGCAGCGCAGTCCTACTGTAGATATGTCATGTTTTTTCTTGGCAGGATTCCCGTATCCCCCGAGATCTTTTGCCTGTGCCTATGGTCAGTTCCCAGGTTAGAAACCTGTGTCTCTACAATGTAGTCTGTTCATAAACATGAAATATAAATACGGGGGTTGTGGAGAAGTGAAACCTTTCACAAGTAGAGATTTGGAGCTGGCTTCCAGGGAGTTGCAGTGATCTTGATAGCAACAGGATTCCTAGCTATGAGTCTTCTGTCTGCATCTGGGACATTCATACATTATATCAAAGTTTATGGTATGGGATTCCAGCCGGCAACAATGAGATTGCTCCATCTGCATAACAAGCAGCGACTTCTATCTTTATGTGGACTTTGGGAGATGACTTTCTCAAAGAGATGAAGCCTGATGTTGCTTTTTGCTAAACTCCAATAGACAGCTGGTTACATATCAAGTGATGAACTCTTAACCATCTAATTTGTCTTCTGTTAACTGGGAATCATTGACCATGTGTGGAGTTTTAAAACACTCTCTTTCCTCATACATCACTGACCACATGTGTGTCAGGCGATAATTACCATTCAGAAATTCTTTGATTAGTTCTCAGACTTCCCTTTATTTATGTAATGTCAAACTTCCTTTTGTTTACTTGATCTCTGAACTGTCCTTGGCACTCCCAAATGGGTTTTCAAAAACCAAAATCTTCTGATTTTCACACCAGTTTTTCTAGCAATTTCTTAGACTTGTACACACAGAAGTTACTTAGAAATCTTGCATTTAATATTGCCAACCAAGTACACTTTTCTTCAAATTTGTTCCCCCTTATCAAGCCCAAACCCCAGATGTTTGGCTCCTTAACTCCTGTCATCATCAAATGCAGGTGGCTCTTCCTAACTGTACCTTTTTATTTATTTTAGACTGTTCTGAGATCATAGGTCATATTATTAATGTAGCCAACCTCAATTCTTGATTTCCCCTTTCAAATATCTCCTTGATAAGGCTGAAAATTCCATTGCTCCAAATCCTCCCATTGCCGCACAAAAAACGCCCAGGTTTCATGTTTTATTTTTTCCCTCTCCTTTATACACAATTGCAGTCACTAAGTCCCATCACTATACTTTCTAGTTGAAAACATCACAGTTTGTCCACTACATGTCATTTGTTCCCTATTTTTGCCACTATATTCTCTCTCATGTATAGAAACCAGAAAATTCTCTTTGATATATTAATTTTACCTTATAAGTCTTTTAAACTATTAACTTCACTATCAACTTTCTTGTTACATTGTACATTTAAACAAAACACAAAATTTGTACTTTATCTAGTCTGATAATAAAATATTAGTCAATATTTTTCTCTTACTTTTTTATTTTACTGCACAAATAATTGTTTTTGCTCTACAATGACATTTCTGTGTCATCTTTTCACTGATTCTTCTCTGCCTACAATACTTATCCTTTATTTTTCAGATCTATGTCTTATTTCTCACTTTCGTCTCTGTTCAATTTATTCAAAGAAGCTGTTCTTTACATTACGTACAAAACACCTAAAATTGTTCCCAATCTACCTTATTCTAGAATCTCGTGCTTCATTTTTTAATAGCGACTCTTGTTATATTTTTTATTGCCATTGTCTCTTACTAACCCTGAATTTCTATGGAAGTTGAAATTTTGTTTTATTTACCACAATATCCATAAAACTTGTTTGCTGGTACATTACATAGTCTCAGTGAAAAGTTCCAGATACACTCATGAACGTAGTCAGAATATTAAAATATTCCAGAATCACTCTATGTTCCATTGCAGTGTATTTGCATTATATCAAGTGAGAACACACATTTATATATGTAACATGAATAGGTATATGTATACATATGTGTGTCTGTCATAATTTGGTTAGAATTTGGCTAAATGGAACTTCTTATTTTTAGGAAGCTATTCCTATAAAAGATTTACAGCATTCAAAACTGAGAAAGGATATTTTTATAAAATGAATTTATAAAAGTTGAAAGCATATAAGAAATTTTAAAATTACAAGTATTATAAGGATAATCATATACATCATAGTATCTTGAAGGCTATGTGTGTTTCTATGTGTATGTACATGGCCATAGCCATTGCAGTGAGTGGAAAAGTCATGAATATAGCATATGCGTGTTTTTAACTGTAGACTACACAGTGAAGGAAAGTTTTATAAATGGAATGAGTAAGACAACTGGAGATGAGTTTCATACTTTATAAGTACTTCATGGCAACAACAATGTACTCTGTAACTCCTGTAAGGTTCATTGGTATACCACCTTGATTTACGAGTAAGAGGAACATGAGATAAAATTTAAAAGGCAAAACAGTTGAACTGAAGATACTGAGGGGTTTTGAATCCTCAGAATTTTATTTGTCAGCAAAAGTGGGGACGCACTGGATATCTTTTGCTTTGTTAGATATATAGATTTTTTTCTCTTGTGAAATATAGATAATTCAGAGATACAAGGATAAAGTGATTTGTATAGGAGTTGTGGAAGTAAAAATTAAGATTAAAAAGTCAAAACTTAAAAATTCTCAGTAGTATTTAAATATTGTTTAAATTGAAGACAAAGAAAAATTAAGCATGGCTTGTTTTTGAAAGTGGAAAGTAGAAAACTTGTTTTAATTAACAGAAACATGAAAAGAAACTACTCCTGAAGTGTTTGACTTGCTGAAGAACAAGTTCGGGTATACTGGTTGAGGTGATACCAGGTATGAAAATAGAACTATTTAGTAGCCCTTTGTAGACCACAGATAGAAATCAAGAAAAGACAAAAGATGATAACTAAGAGAGTAATGATGGTAGAGTTCTCCCATGGCAGAAGAGTATAAGGTGGCAAGGACCACTACATGACTGTAGAGAGCACCTATAGTTATCTAGGTATCTACAAGTGGCCCCAACCTACTCTTTTGTACCTGTCTTAACCTTTGTTGAAATACCTAAATAACTCAAACACTCCTAACCTTTCCTTCTTTTGCATACTCCTTTGTGGGTTTCTTTAATATATCACTGAGAGTTGGAATTCTATCATAAAACCTATTATTTCAACTTGAATAGTTCTTTTCAGAATAACAGGGAACAAATTTTTCAGCTAAGGAAGAATGGAGAGTATAATGAAGCATAGTGGAAAGTCCATGAGGAATGGGCTGATGGACATGAGTTTAAATCATCTCAGTCATAATTTAAGAGTATAATCCTGGACAACTTATTTTTTCTCTCTGAGCCTCAGTTTCCAGTTATAAACATCATTACACATTGGAGTGCAGTGTTGTTGCACAAAGTAGATAACATAATAGCACCCAGTCCTTTGAAGGAGCTTGATAAATATTTATTCTCCTGTTTTTTTCCAGTACAGTTATAGCTCTATGTCCATGAACTGATGAATATACAGTAGCTGTGAAATGACTTGTGTGTAGGTGAAGGTTGGTGGAAGGGAGACCCCAGAATGAAAACAGAAAGAGGTTGGCCGAGTGACTGACAAAAGGTATTGTGTTTTTAGTCAAGAAACTAGACAAAGAATAGTCTTATTTTCTCCTTTATTTTCCCATCTATATCTAAGGACTAAAGCTTGAAAGAAGGAAAAGAGTTGTTAACTCACAGAATTACCACTGAGGCATAGCTTTCTTTCATATGAAAATTTATGTTCTGAAAGAGATATATCTTGCATGTCCTAGATACGTTGCAGTGAAACCACTTTCAAGCAGGAGCAATTTAAATATTTCTTAAAACAGTATTAAAAACACTTACTTTACTACACAACGTCATTAACTAATAAAAAATATTGTAATAAAACTCCAATAATAACAAGTGATTCCACTAATACCACATAGAGTTTAAAATTCTCTAACTATAGAATTCAGGAATACCGATTCATTATACTAATGGATTGTTTTATATGCAGCTCATCAAATTCATCCAGATATCATCTTATGTACAGCCACAAATGCATTTTAATTATTGCAGAGCAAAACTATTTAATTGATTATTTATAAGCATTTCTTCTGCTAACGTAAAACAGCCTAGTTATATCACCTGTAACACTATAACCCACCAAATCTGAATTTTCTTTGCATTTACTTTCTATAAGGAAGAAATGTACTTACATGATATAATATCATACAGTGGTAAGCAAGACTTAGAAGGTTGATCAACCCTCTTGGAAAACAAACTACTACTGAGTGCAGATTTACCAGTAGGGAAGGAGCTAAGGTAGGCTTTATGAGAGACACTAGAGGAGACATTATGCTAGCTGCTGGTGATTGAAGGTTAGAAACCAGTGCCTGTGAGAAATTTATAATTTAGCAAAGAGGAAAAAATACCATATGAATGAATGCTAATCATCCTAATTTTTTCATTATACATTAAAAACATGTAATCAGATTATCCAAGTGTATTCAATAACTATGTTCAGTACAATGAATCAATTAAAAATATTTTTGAGACTGGATCTCATTTTATTGAAGAGGTTTTTTTGGAACTGTTGGATTCAAGTGATCCTTCTGCCTCTCCACCCTCCCATGTAGCTGAAGACATGTAGCATGATGTAGCTAAGAGAAAAATATGTATATATCAACTAAAGATGATTTCTTAATGTTATTTCCTTAATGGTATTTTTTCATTTCTATGCTTTATATGTTTTGCTTTTTTAAAAAAGAAAAAGAAAAAAAAACCTGATCGGTTCCCTGTGAGGAGATCTGGGAATCCAAATGTAAATATAGCTTATAAAAATATAGCTTATAGCGTAAAAAGGGAAAAAAAGTATTTTCTAGGTAAAGGTAAGAGCAACTATTAGTAGAGGCAGGAAAAATAATATGTACATAGAAACATACCAAATAAAGAAAGCTCATGGCTTGGGGTATTTAGGGAACCTTGCAGTTTGGCACTATAGCACAGTCTATGTTTGAGTTTAGTTGGAGGAAGACCAGCGGTTGGGACATTGGGGACACTGGTGAGGTAGATTGGTAGTGGGACTCAAGACGGAGAATGTGAAATCATCAAGGGGCCAGTCACTAAGGCTTTGGGAGCCTGTGAAGAAGTTTTGTAATTTTATGTTTTAAGACACTTATAGTCATTGAAGTTAATTTGAATGTTGGATAATGTGATCAAGATTGTGCTTTAGGAAGATAACTCTGAAGGCTTTTGGAACAGGGTAGTACACCAAGAACAGAGATTTAGGATATTAGTTCCAAAATTCTCATGATACATCATTGAGAATGCAAACTATATGGAAACTAAATCTGGGAAATGAACTGATATAAGGGGTTTGGGAAGTAAAATGTCAAGGATGAAGCAGATTTGGTTAGTTTGAAGTTGCAGCTTTTATTTGGGGAGGAAATAAAAGAAGGCTCCAATGCTAAGTTCTGGAGAGGTAATAATGCAATCATTATTTAATTTCATGCTCAAAATTATATTTTGCTCTGTTGACCTGTCTTACATATTAAAGTGACCCATATGGTCAAATACAATTCATTCTAAAAATTGACTTGAATACTTACATGAATTGAGTGCTTAAGATATAACTGTTGAATTACTATACCTACTTCTAAAATACATCTTTCACAGATATATTTTTTATTTCACAGATATATTTTAGAAATAGTATTCACATGTAAAAAGGAAAAGAAACCCTGAGTGATAAAAGCAAACCACATAGTGAATATGTGTCTATCTTTAGGAAACATGTTCTACTCTTCTATCAATTTTGTTCATGTCATTGCTGTCTGTATGAGGCAGACATTTCAGCAGAAAATCCAAATGTTCTTCTCATGTACACTTGCTGTCATGACTAAGCCACGTCATTTTTGGACTTCAGCTGGGTCATCATAAATGTGTATTCTGGACAGTGGCTTTAAGTTTTAAAGAAAAATAAAATAGAAAGGGAATAAGCTTGAACAAAATAAAATGGGGCAATAGATGATCTTTTAATTCAGCAAGAGACCCAACTTTTTCTTCTGTAGCTTCTACTGTTTAAACTTTTGGCTGGAGTACGTAGAGGTTAATTTTAAATATGGTAATAATTTAAGAGCTATCTGTTTCTCTTATTTATCTCCTTTGTCATTTATTTAACTCCTGCCAGCAGAGACCAACTTCCTACTTGCACTGAGCACTTAGGTACAAAATATTGCATGCTAGCTCATTAATTTTTATGTGTGGTAAAAGGTTACTTGCTTTTTTTGTTTCCCTCTAAAAATTGTGCTACTAAACATGTAACACCATAGTCTGGATTTTCATTCTTAAGTCAAGCTTTAGAGACAGCCTCATGGATTAGTGGGTTTTAGAGTTAGGATTCTTAAACTCATCCACTAAATTTAAGTCAACTTGAGCTATTCACTACCTTGGGCAAATTCCTTTATTTCTGTAACATTTAATGTAGTCATCTATATAAGAGCTGCAACACAACCTCCTTTTATGGCTAATATAAGAAATAATATTGAACATACCATACGCATTATCAGAAAATAGAAGACCTAAGTAGTAGTTAGTTGAGTTTTGGAGAATAAATCCTGGAATTGTAATCTAATGAAATTGAAAACATTTCTGGCATCAAAAATGAAAGGTGGAAAACAATGCTGATTTTTTTCCTAACTTATACATTCACATCATTTTTACAGTTATGAAAATGTGATGTCAGTGATGAGTGGAAAACCACTAGATAAGGTGTGGAAGTTTGTATTAGGAAGTTTCCTAATTTTGTAATCAGCAAATCAACTATTTGTACTGTTATTATAAAAATATGCCCCTGGTTCTTACATAAAGCAATCTGTGCAAACCCACAGTGGCAGTCCACAACCTGTTCTACATGGACTCAGTGCATCTTGAGTAGAGTGCTGGAGCTCCCCAGAGAATCCACTTGCCACCTAGTGTCTAGGAAAGAGACCTTGCCTGCTGACTGCTAGGGTCTGGGGAGGAGACTGTGGCGTGGAAGGATGAAAGGAGGATAGAAGGGGAGAGTCTGTAAATACTTGACACATAAGGTCTAGTTCTTCACTAACATTGCTAAGGATGGCTAGAAATGCCCTGGAGTTTAAAGGCTGTCTGCTCCTTTCAGCCAACAACTTGCCGTCTGTCTGGCACTTTTCTCCCTGGAGATACAGTCACAAAGCAGTGTCTGCACAGTGAATACGATTAAATGAAAGCCTCTGGAAATGTCCATGGGAAATTAGATAACATGTGCTTTGATGCAGAGATTCGGTGTTTGAAGGTGAAAAAGACAAGCAAGACATCAGAAGTCTGCATCTGCTTAGATCCATTGCAGCACATTAGCATTCTGCTAATGTGGCTTTGTAAGTTCTGCACTGAAGTCAGTTTGTTGTTTTTTTCAAGTACCAGCTGACATTTCAGGGAAAAAGATCAACAAACAAACAAAAACCTTTAGATTAAAACAGGTCCTAAAGTTAGACTGGGATGGAATGTTAAAATCAAGTTTTTCTTATATTTCCATTAATTAATCAATTAAATTGAAAAGTACATACTAGTCTATTTGGGATGGAACATTTAGTTCTCATATTGTTGTCCTTGACAGGCACTAGCTCTATGCATGGAGGAGAACAGCCAACTCCTACCCTGGACCATTTCTAGCAAAGGGGTGCACACTGAGTTATAGCCAGTATCTGGATGGCCCATGGCAGAAGTGCCCACAGTTCACTCTGAACCCTGGTTTCTTTTATTTCTGGGCCTTTTATGCAGTGCCATAATGTATAGTCCTGAATCAGAGCACACTACTGGGGTACCTAAGTTCTACCAACTGGGCAAGTGTTATCCTGCTTTCTTCAGCTGCTGACCAAGACCTTGGTGGGCTCCAGAGTGAAGATGGTAGGAAATAGCATGAGAGGATGCTAAGATAGTGAATAGTACATCTTTGTTCTCAATGGTATTGCATAGAATATATGTGCTAAGGTTGAGTCATGAACACAGTCGTCTTCTGTGATACATAGGAGTTTTGGGTGATGGAAAACCAAGATCACTTCACCTTGTTCTTTACCAAGATAGAAGGTGGTAATCAGGATAGGATCATTCATTTAAGCTCCAGATGCAAGGTGTATTAGTTTTGTACTGAAGCTGTAGCAAATGATCACAAACTCAGTGACTAAAAAAATTTAATTATTTACAGTATTGGAGCTGTAAATTACTGTCACCGGGCTAAAATCATGGTGTAAGTAGGGATGCTTCCCTTCTGGAGGCTTTAGAGAAAATCAGTTGTCTTGCTTTTCTAGGTACTACTAGCTGTTTGTATTTCTTAGTTTCTAGCCCCTTCCTCTATTTTTAAAGCCAGCAAAATAGCATTTTCAAATTTCTTTCTGCTCTGAATCTTTTCAGCTCTCCTATAAGGACATTGAGGGTTAAATTGGGCCCACAATTTAAAACCACTTTTCTCTTTGAGTATCCTTAATATATGTACTAAGTCTTTTGGCCATATTAATTAATATATTTGTAAGTGTGAAGAATAGGGTGGGGCCATATTTGGGACCATTATTCTGGCTTCTTCTGAACATACTATTTCAGTATTGTTCTATTCTGTTACTTCTCTTGTTCTACTTATGCCATCTAAGATTTACTCTGTTAATAAGCTTTGTTTGTTTGATTATGCTTTTGTTTTTATGGTGCTATTATGTGATGAACATGTAATGGAATTCTAACCAAATGACATCCCAGTCCATTTTCATTTCCCTGGTAGATGTGTTACTCCATCTGACACTGATGCAGCTGTTTATTTGGACCTAAATGTAGAGAGATGACAGCTGATCTCCTGGATTGGAGCTTTACTACAATGAGATAAGAATGTATGCTTGTCAGCCAGAAGAGAAAAATTGGATGAAGAGTTTAGATTCATTTCTGAAACTCTTATGAATTTTATGAAATGATTGGATTGGAAAGAATGTTTAATAATCCAACCACCAGTAAACCTATTAAAATTAAAATGTTATTTTCTTAGATGGGAAGGTGCCCTATTGTCTGTTAAATACAAGCCTCAATATGAAACAAACTAGGAGGAAACAACCACTTTTTCTGTTTCCTCTTAAAAGATTGTCATGCTACTGTGGAAAGGGCTTGGCATTTGGATTCAGAGGACCCTCGATTTAATCTCTTTTTTTGCCTCTCATCAGCTGTATAATCTTTAACAGATCTTTCAACCTCTTTAACACCTAATTCACATGGTTGTTAGCTTAGTATTTAAAAGTCTATGGTTCTGAACAGAAAGCTATGATGTGATTTTCATAACCACAGCACAAGCATTCTCAGGAGTTGTTAGGGCTGAAAATTCTATAACCTCACCCAGACCCACTACATGAGAAACCTTAGGGTGATAAATTTGATTCCATACAATTATGATATGTAAAATCTACCCAATAGTGTTTCAAACTTGGTCTCCTACAAAGTTACCAAATGTTAGTTGTAATTATTCTTTTCTACTATATTCATTTCTTTCAGTTACTATTTGTTTTGGATGAGCAAGGTCAGTAACAGATTGGTGTTTGCTCCTCAAGTCATACTGTTTTTTTTTCTTTTTTTTTTTTTCTCAATGAAAAATAACATAAAGAACAGAAACAGGAATATCGGCTGGCATTTAAGGCTGTGTCTCTTTAACTCCTCAGCCCAGGTTTCATGCTCACCTCTGCTGCCTGGAATGTGCTCTGGTGATGGCAGAGAATCAGACCCAGAAGCAGGCTTATGCATAGGAGAGAGGCTGTGACTTTGCAGTTACTTTTTTATTCTTTGGGTAAATGTAAGTGAACAACATGTAAATACATATTTGCTTCAATAAAGAGAATTTTGTATTATGCAACACATAAAATTTACCACAGTGATTTGTCATTTAATTTCTACATAATTAAGTAGAAGTGAACCTACATGTTCCAAGCCAAGTTAAAAATCATATGAAGACACATAATGCACTGACAAAACCACAATGGGAAAAGAGAGAAAATTCAAAAAGCGTCATTAAACTGAAAAAAGATTGAGTGCAACAAAAGAACGCACACAAAATTTTTTTAACTACCACCTAAGAATAAAATGGAAATCTGGAGGGTTATGTGCAACTAGGAAATAAAAATGATTCAATAATATGCCTTGTACAATTTCCAACGTCAAATATTCCCATTTCAGTAACTTTCTCAAAGAGTGAAATCATGTAATCTCTTTTTACATTATGTCACTAAACTGTAGAGTAGGTAGATTTAAGCTAAGATGGCTCTGTAGCTACAAGAAAGGAAATGATGTGTCATGGATTTGGACTTGGAAATATACTCAGTATTATGCTCATATGGCCCTGTGCGGTAGATATTATATTGTCCTTGTGTTGCAGAGGCTCAAAGAATTCAAGTGTTTCTTCTGGGGTCTTGGATTGCCAGCAATAGAGCCAAGATTAGAATACAGGGCTTTGAGTCTGGACTCAATGCCCTGCACCACACTTCCACCAAGTTTTATTGTGAGAACATTGATAGTCCAGATTGTTCTATGATGGCACCTTGGCCAATCTTGCTGTGTTTTGAAAACATGATGCCTTTAGAGTGCTTTCTCTGAGACTAAAAATCAGTATCAATATGGTGAAAATACATTCGCCCTGACTTTATTACAATATTAAAAAGGGGTACATATTTGAGAAAATGAGGTAATCAGAAAGACAGTACTCAAAGACAAGCACTATATCTGAGAGCTCTGAGACATACAGACTTGGTTTGCATTCTAAATTTTTGTTCCACTACTTATTAGCTCATTAAATAGGGGTTGCTTCACCTCTGTGTTCCTGCTATTAGTTTTTTCTTAACTATAGACAAAACAGTACTTCCAATTATGCTGTAGCATGTGAATTTTATGTCAGTTAAAAATAATCTAAAAATATTATGTGAAAATTCAATGAGGTAATGTATTACAATTAACAGTTACTAAATAAGTGTTTGTTGCATAAAAGATGAAGCAAACCATTACTAGCATTATAATAAAAGCAAGAATTATTTTTTTCTTCTCTAGCAGAGAGGGAGTACAAAGGGCAGATCAGTTTTAATTGGGAATGGCAATGAGAGGCATGCATCAGGTGTTGGCGAGGTGGCCATGAGCATAAAGACATGTGAGTGTTGAAAGAACGAGGCTACTAAAAGGAAATGGGCACAGCGGCAGGTGGGTGGCTGATGCTGCTTCAAGCTGAACTTTAAAGACACAGTGGAAACTGCTGTTTTGCCTCTTTTAGTCAGTTCCATTCCTGTCCTGACAGGCGTTTAACATGTCTACATCCCCTGCCCCACCATGCCACTGCATACTTGTGGGCTGTTGCTCATGTTTTTCCCCAGCATGTGTGTACTAGGATTTTATTGAATTCTCTGGTTTGTACTGAGGTCACTTAGCCATCAGTCTAGACTAAACTCAGATATCTGCCTCTTAAGAGCTGCCAACCTAGACTTAGATCCCTTAGCAGTACTTCTGAATTCTCTAGGTACATCTGTCCCGTATTACTTCTTACATTACAAAAATAAATTATTGGGTGTGCATTGATTTTCTCTATTACTCCATGAGCTTCTCAGAAGTGCAAGATTCGTGTCTTATATGTATCTTACTCTCTTAGAATTCAACAATATGCCCAGCATAAAGAGATTATTTGGAAAAACTGGAGTTTGAATTAAACTGAATTGAACCAATGTTGAAATAAGGATTCCTTACCTATTTTATAAAATTTCACTTGACAGTAAGTTTTGTACTCAAAAGGAAATTTTATTGTATCACGAATTGAAGTCACAACCTTGTGCTTGTACGTATTGTGAAATGGGAACTGTTCAAAAGGAAAGAGAAGCTGGAAAGGAGAAAAGGAGAAAAAAGGAAGGCTAAAGGAAAAAAATATATATATATGATAGTTAAGATACTTATACTACTAATTTCTATTAGTTTATTGAAAAGAAAGTTTTGTGCCAATATTTTTGATCAATTTTTTCATGCCTATATCTTATGAGCAACTACTTTGAAGATAATACACAATGTATTAACCGTTGCTATTCTTTTACTATCTTGTTTTGAAATTTCATACTATTGCTTTACTACAGTTTCTATTTAAATAAAAAATAAAGTAAAAATTTAAAAATATATAAATGTCTATATCTTCATAATTGCTAAAAAAAGTAAAAATATATCTGACTTTATTCTTGCAAATGAAAACTGGTATTTTAACACTGCTGAATTTCTGTATTTCAGGCAGTTCAAATATTATTAAGATTTCTATGTAAGATAAAAAAAAAAAAGAAAAAAGAAAAAGAAAATCTAATCAGCTGGGAGGTCCAAACAAATCAAGGAATTGAAGTGCAGTAATGACCCAGGGAGAAAGTTTTAAGTAAGTTTTTTGGAGAGAGAGGTATAATACTCCTTACTCACTCATTCTCAGTTTTTCGGAGTGTTTGTTGCCATGTATTAAGGGCTGAAATGGGGAGCAGTTGAATCTTTATGGGATTTGAAGTCAGCCAGCTTTCATTGCAATACTGTCGCATCTATTTACTCTCTGAATGGTCATGAACAAGTGAATTAGTCTCTATCTCAGCTTCATCATCTTTAAAATAGATAAAATAATAACTTCTATCCCATATATTGTTTTGGAAAGAGAAATAATTTACTACATTTAGAGAAAATGTCTGCCTACCTTATAGCAAGTGTTCAGTAAACAGAATTATTTCCTATCTTTAGCTTTTTGATCACTGGTAAAATGTGGCATCACAGTCCATGCATCAGTGTTCATCTTCTGTCTCTTCATTCAACGTACATTTTTTTGTGTGTGAATTGCCTGTGTGCCTGGATTTTATCAATATGCCAGTAACATAAAAATGAATTAGACCTGATCTTTTAAAGTTCCTGGTATTGTGTGTGTGTGTGTGTGTGTGTGTGTGTGTGTGTATCTGCATGTATGGGCACATATGAATCTTACAAATAAATGGGTAATTCTAACATAGGATAGTAAATCCTGTATAGCAGGAAGCACATGCTTCATTTTAACCTTGATGCAGTCTCAGAAGTCAGGACCAGATTTTTTTTATTTGAAAGAAAAAAAATAATAAAAACAGTGATACAGAATTTCACATCAAGATAATAGGAATCTAACTGGTTAATATGTTGTATATTGTTATCTTCAAAGTAGTTGCTCAGATTACAAGATATAGGCATGCAAAATTGATCAAACAATATAAGCACAAACCATTCTTTTCAATGAACTGAAAGAAATTAGTAGTATAATTATCTTAGTGATCATGTTGTGTATACACACACACACACACACACACACACACATATATAATATATTTTTACCTTCCTTCTTTTCTCCTTTCCCCCATTCCAGTTGGTCTTTCATTTTGAGTTTCTTTCCTTTTTACAATTAAAAGATGCAACTAGAGATTCATACTCATAAGTGAAATAAATCAGACTTGCATGTGTAAACATCATATTGTGTCCCTAATGTAAGAAACTGAAAAAGTAAATAAGATCCAAAATCTACAGTATGACCAGATTTTGTGATCTAGTATATAAGTATGAGTTAGTTATTCTGAGAGCTGGGTTTGAGATGGGACAAGTCTGTTTCATATCAAAGTGGCTTTCTTGCTAGGTGCGTGAAATGAAGGAAGTGGTAAGGCAGTCAGTGTGGAAAGTCAGGCAAGGACTGGCCAGAAACTCAGCTGCTGTATGAAAATTAATCACACTCTCCTTGTGTTTTCTAACAGGTGAATAAAGTTAGGCACTAAGTTGTTCTACCAGGTAGAGAAGCCGTGAAGTTTTCTAAACAGATATTCAAATGCTTAGGTAGTTTCTCTTGTTTTAACAGCTGCTTTTTAAAGTTTATTTCTAATTTCTGATGGAGTTTAGTATTTCTACCTTTGAGCTTCTCTATTTCCACATAGACTTCTGTCATAGCACTGTATCACTTTATTGAATTTACTTCTAATTCAGTCTCCTTTGGGAGACTGAGGGCACTTCAAAGATGGTTTTTATTATTTACTTTTGTATCCTCAGGAAGTGAAGTAGTGATTGACACAGAACAGGCAGGCATTTAGTGGAATCTTGATTGACAAAGTGAGGATTTAGGAAAAAGTGTTTCTAATATTTTAGGGACAAAGGGTCATCAGTTAAAATTTAGGCAATCAGGTCCACAAAGTAATTCTTTTCACATTGATGGCAGAGTAAGCCTGGTGAACTGCTGTCCCAAAGATCCATCTGTCCCTCTTGTATTTGTTATTACTGAGTACTTTTAGGGGCCAGGCACAGTGCTTAGCACTGAGAGAGATATGAAAGCATTTAACACTGCATTCAGTTATAGTGAAAGCGCTACACACATGCCCCACATTCCCTCTATCATTGGGGCCTGCCACAGTGATTTGCAATTGTCAGCCCTCAGTGAATGTCTAGAAAAAATAATAGCCAAGGAAGATGTGAGGAATATTTGCTAAAGGTATAGTATACGTATACAATAAATTTTCTAAGAGTCCAAATGAAGTACACTCTGAAAGATAATTTAATCTGATTTGGTTCATTAAGAAATCTTAGCACTGGAAGTTAAATAGGATCTAGAGTGAGGAAGAAGCTCAGGATTTTAAAGACAGACATAGCATGCACGTCAATTTACACAGACTAATAAACCTCTCAATGAAATCTACAATACAAATCATTAAAGCTCTGGTAATAGTTGGAGTATATTGAAATTCACACTGGAGAACCAATTTTCTAAGCATATTGCAATTTAGTCAATGGATATGGAAGGCTAGTAATTGCTTTAGTAGACAAATTAAGTGAGCCCACATGACAATGCTAATTAAGCAAAGTTAAATAGCTCATTAAAATAAAACTGGCAAATGACAGTTTCTAAAATTCAGTGAATGTGGAGGCAACAGCTCTAATGATTCTAACACCTGACTAGAATCCCAAAAGAGAGTTTTATCTTTTAGGAAAATTCGTGATTTAGAGTAACAGACCTCTGTCATTAATTTAGCTATGAAAGGCTGAGTATATTTAAAACTAGCCCCATGTCCTTGGAAATTCTGCATCTTGTAGAATGAAAACTTTGGACTTATCAGATTCAAGGCTTTATTTAGGTCAGAATTGGTTTTGTGTTCATTTGTCAATTTGCAGCTGAAGTGAAGGCCTTAAATGGAAGCCTGGCATTATCCAGTTGACAATGATTTGATGCTGCACCATGTCATGCTGGAAATTAGTGTCTAGAACCAAAATGTTAATCACAGGGACCTCTATACATTGATGGCATAAATAGCATGTTTCTATATAAAAAAATCTATAGTGACTCATTCCCATTTAAATAAAAATCTCCCATTGCTATTTCAGTGAATTGAATGACTCTGGGCACTTTTCTTTGTGCTCTAGGTTGAGGCAATTTAATTTCCCAGGAAACTGTTAGATCTATTAGAAGTAGCTGTCCTCTTCCTTAGGTGCTAAGAATGCTCAAAATGATTGTCTTTCCATGACCAGAGATAGAAATGGCCTTTTCCGGTCCTCTTCTGAGTAAATACGAACTATCAATGTGTCTTCTCTTTGTGCTATGATATTTCCTGATATGAGACCTTTAAGCATCAGTTCTTCATAATGTTAAGAAAGCTACTTGAAAAACATGGGCTTGTGTGCACTAAGAGTAAGAAAGGTTTGGAAAGAGTAATAAATGATTGGTTTCTACACTATAAGACTTTTCAGTGTTACTGCCAAAACAATGATAGTTTTTTAAAACTTTTGCTTGACAAAATAACTTTTGTTCTATGGAGCAATTCTTGAGACTTTTTCCAAAGAATACAATACAGAACGTATTCAGTTCTAGTGACCACATTGCATGATCTGAGCCTAAAATTGCTCTGTCACTTTCTAGTCATGAGATGATGTGAGGGGTAGTCTTCTAGTTACATTGGAGCTAAATTTCTCACCTGAAAAAATTGGAGGTAAGACTGCTTCTATTTGCAATATTTCATGTCAATTAGAAATATTAGGTAATAATATGTGTGAGAAGTTCTGAAAGTGACGGAACACATAGGTGGTAATAAATGAACCATTTTGGGAGATCATTCTGGTTTATAATTTATTTTAAAATCTCTTTTTCCTTATTTTCCCACCATATTTACTACCAAAATCACTGTTACTTCTAGGTGCTACTGCTTTCTGTGGTAGGTACACTTTCTGTTGGCTCACTACTACTTTCTGTGATTTATCCAATGAATAGCGTCACCCCTTTTCCATGCAGTTTCTTTCATAGGGGCTGATGAGGCTAAATTCACAATTTCCTGTATTCCTATTGTAGGCATATGAGGCAGTTTATGTAATAAACATAAGGGCAATTCTTACAGAACTCTGAGAAGACTTTCATTTTTCCTAATAGAAGGATACAGTACATAGTGTCATAGTGTTTCTAGTGACCATCATAAAATGCAGAAATATTGACACTGGCTTTACTCAGCCCACACTTTGAGCAGCTTCCCTCCATATTTCTTGTGACACAAGGCAAATGAAATTCAACAAATATTAAAGACTCTCAAAATGGGCTTTTTGTTATTCATAGCTTAAGCCTGGTTCTGAAAAGTTTGTCTATTATTTATTGAGTATTTTCTATGTGCTGGTACTTAACTCATATAACCACATTTAGCCCTCTAAACAGGAATTACTACATACTATTTTATACTTGAGGAAACAAACTAAATGACCTTGTTCAAATTCAAGGAACTCTGGATTTAGATCTAGTTGTGTCTCCAAATAGCTATATTTCCATTTATTTTCTCTTGGTGTATACTTCTGCAAAGGTGTACATTAAGTTTTGGAAACAGTCATTATAACCTTAGAGGTATTATTGCATTCTTCATTCTGAAGTGTATATTCAATATCCCATTTAAAGTGGATGGCTCATACAGTCTGACATTTGATGAGGAAGGGATATTCCTAAACATCACACAGAAACAGAATCCAGGCCCAATGTGGGTTTATAGCAGTACATTTTTCTATCCATTAGATAGAATGCAGCAGAGGAGGATCAAACCTAACATGAGAGCTGCCACGAGAGTTCATTTGTTCCCTAGTATTAAAGCTCCAGTGTGACAGAAAATGTGATACTCACTAACCTATATAAAGTTAGACATTTGAAGAGGAAGTAAAAATCCGTGCAAAACTAGTTATATCCCACAATGTAAGATATGTAAGATTAATGCTCAGAACATCTTAGTTTGTTATCAGAAAAAATATTTTATTTAAGATTTGATAGAAATCATAAAGTTTGCATCTCTCTCTGGCTTAAAAAAATGAATAGGAGTTGGGAGCATGTAATGGAAGGGAATGATTTTCTTTTCCACATCAACCACAGTTTCCAGCCTTACTAATTGTGTTGATGGCAAAAATAAATAAATAAAAACAAAACAACTTTACATTTTCAAGAGCATAGTCTGATTCAGTTATAGTCCTGTAGACAGGCCATGTTTTACTCAAGGTTTCAATAAAGACTCCTCACCAGCTGCCAAAGATTCCTCCTTCCCTTCTTTGGTATTCTAATACCTAAATATACTGACTGTAAAGTCCAAAACATCAAAAAAACTACTTAATTTCTCTTGAAAAGAAATTAAGTTAAACAATTGCCACAAACACTTCAGAATTTGTTCTATCAGCCTTACCAGCCGAATTTGTTGTTTTGGTTTGTCTCTTTGTTTACCAAGGTAGAAACAAAATATTTGAACGCATTAATCAAATATTACTAAAGGAATATTATAATTATAAAAAATGACCAAACTCTTGGGCAGGGACGGAAGACACAGTTGTGTGAGTTACGTTTATAATTAAGAGACTGTAGACTTAATCTTACAAAAGTCAGCTGGATCACTGGAGAGAAGTATGCACACTTGAAGACAAGTCAAAAAATACTTACCACATTAGCCCTTTGCCACACTCTTTCATTCATTCAATATGCAACCAAATCATTATTGAGCATCTTTTATGTGTAGCAAACCCTTCTAGGTGCAGTGACCATCAAAGATACAGTGATGGACAATGGGGACAAGGCCCCCAAGCCCAAGTAGCTTGCTCTGCCTACACTGTAGCACAGGATTGGTACATATTCTGACAAGGAGTTGGATAATGGAAAGATAGAGATGCCCTGGAAAACTCAGACTATAAGCAATGCCTCTGTAGATTTTAACTTCTTTTTCTGATGGTCTTTTTACTGTTTACCTTTTCCTAATTTCATACCTGACACAATGACTTGCACTTGTGAAGGAAAATGACAATTGTTATTTTAATCAAAGCACAATATAACAAGTACTTAAGAAGTCCTTATAGTGTGACAGACATCACATGTATTAGTGTATTCATTCCCTGCAACCACTGTATCAATTATGTGTCTCATGGTCTCCATTTATTAAAAGTGAGAACTGAGCCACAGTGAAATGATGCAAAGTTGCCTTGGGTCACACAGTTGGTAATTGATGCTGCCAGTATTCAGCCTAAATTCTGTCTAGCACAATACACTGCTACTCTCGGTAAAGCATCTGCTCTGTATTAAACCTATTCAGGTAGTATGTCTTTCATTCCCCATAGTACTGTCGAGTAGATGACAGGATCCCAATTTGTCAGATAAAAAAAAATAAGATGTAGAGATAGGAAATGGTAGCGTCAGTGTTCAAAGGACAACCTGGCTCTTGCTCTTACTCCGTGCTTCTCTAAGAAGCCTTCTCTGGCTTTTGTGGTACTGAGGTGCAGACCCATAATTTCTTCTTTATATCAACTTGTATGTTTTAAATATCATGCTTTCCTAGAAGATTTTACTTGAAAAAAGAATTTAGAAAAGCCTGATAAAGTTTGAAAAGTAAATTTGTTAGCCCAAATTAAAAGCTGATTTACAGAAGTTTCAGGAAAAAAGATGATTTTTATATGGTAGATGCAAAATATGCCAATGTGTTAGGTATTTAGATGGTATTTTTGTTTACCATGATATTTACTAATGAAGATATTATATTGAATGAAGGAAAAGTAAAATTTACAATTTGTTGACTACAGGGGATGAGATGAAAAGTATAAAATATTTGGTTAATTAAATGATGTAAGTGAATAAGTTAATGCAAATGAATTAAGACTTGTCTATAAACTTCTTTAAATATACTGTGAACCTTTTTCAGACCTCAGTAGATAAAAAGTAGGATGTGAATAGAAAAGTAAGATTTTATTTTTTTTTAATTTTTTTTCTGGGGATGAAACTCAGAACCCCACACTTGCCAGCTAGGCACTTATGTCACTGAGCTAAATCCCCAGCCCAAAAAGTAGGATTTTCATGCAGGCTAAGTGATGATATAGTTGAATAGTTCAAGTAATATATTTATCATCCATCTGAGAGGTATTTATCTTTTATTTATAGCACATTTAGAATTACTGTCAAATCTCAGTGAATTTTACATGACTAGTTTTTTGACTAGCTCTTTTGATATGCCCTTCATAAATAGAGAAATATTCATTCCCAATCCATTGATGTATGGAATAAGATTCCCCTATTTCCAATTACCAACTATGTAGCTTTTTTAATGCCTCAGAATTTGTTCTTCAGCCATTGCTGTCATGATCTCAGTGGATTTTAAAATATTGGGTCAGTTGTAACATAAGAAAAACTTCATATGAGGAAGCAATCATTCAGTTCCTGTTGATTAAAGATTATTTTCAGAAGAAAGTTATGTAATAAATGCTGTTCATGATATCAAAGTTGAGGTGAGGTCACCACAAGTAAATAAAAGTTAACTAAAGGCAAAAGGGAACTTGGAAACTGGTAAGATGTTTAGGACAATTATACACAAAGTCACATTGCCCTTTTGATCTTTTCAGCTAATCAACATTTCCCTAAAACTTCCAATTGGCCCTTAAGAATGAAACTGTGTATGTTCTCGTGTCTCTATAGGGTAGAATAGGGAGAGCTCTTCTGGGCTTCAGTAAGATTCACGCATATGCCAGAGTACTCAGGTGCGTAAGTTATTGGCACTTTGCTTCTTTATACTGTTCCTGTGTACTAAGATTTAGCTCACTATATACATCCATCCTCTCAGATGCTGGAAATCCTTGAAATGGTCCAGTGGCTTTACTTTTCATGTTCTGACCTCACTCCCCTTCTGCTATAACTGCTTTATCAGCAGTCTCAGGTTCTGTGCCTTGTAGCTTTGGCCAGAGTTATTGGATTCACTCTAATTAACCCTACAAAATCCGTTTGAGGATGAGGTCTGAAGCACTAAGTTATCCTGCCTCCTCTAAAAGAGATCTCATCTAAAAGACTTTGGAAGCAAATTGTGCTGTTTCAGCTCTAGCAGCCATATCCCACAAAGCTCCCACAAATTTTACCTTAGAGTTTCCCCAGAGGAGCCCCTCCTCTTCCACAGGTTGACCAGGCTGCTCGATCTGCTGGCTGCAGAAGAAGACTTGCCATCCCCTACATGCATGCGCACCACAGTAGAAGTGGTGAAGGCGCTGCGCACATTTCTTTCGGGTTTGGCCAGGATGATGTACACCTTCGGCACAAACATGCAGCCTAGAGCCACTGTGGCACTGAGGCTGACTGAGAAACACATGGTGATGATTTTGTAGTTGCTTCCAAAGTAGATTGGGACAAAGGCCAGCCATATAATGCAGGTGGTATACATTGTGAAGGCAATATACTTGGCTTCATTGAAGTTAGCTGGAACATTTCTGGTCTTGAACGCATAGAAGGTACAGCTCAAAATCAACAATCCATTGTATCCCAGAGGAGTGACAACTCCTAGATTGGTGGTGTTACAAATCAAGTAGACTTCTCGAATGCTTGGGTAGTCATGCATTATATCAGGAGGCTCCATTATAAAAAGAGCGACAATAATGCCCAACTGGATACATATGAGAATGAAGGCAATCACTAACTGAGCACAAGCACTCATAAATCTGGGCTTTTTGGTACAAATCTTCTTTTTGCTTCCAGCCAGGATTCTTGCAATACGGTTGGTCTTGGTTACCAGGGCTGAGTAGCTCATGGCTGGAGAGAGGCCAATACCAATTCTCTGAAGATAGCAATAAATCTGTTTGGGCTTTGCGATGAGGCAGAAGGTACATAAGTAACCCAGGCAGATGCCAGCAAGGATAATGTAGCAGAGTTCCCTGCTGGAAGACTTGACTACTGGAGTATCACGGTAAATGATGAAGACTACAGTGACAAAGAGGGTGGCCAGCAGGCCAAGGCAGGCAAACACCACAGCTGCAATGGGCTCAGGGTCACCCCAGCGAAGATACTGTACTGGGATCAAATCACAACCTGCAGACAAACAGACACATAATGAAAAAGAGGGAGATAAATTAACTTGGCTCACAAATCCCTAAGATACAAGTAGATGGATATGGCTATTATAATTTGTCACCTATCTTTTTAATTTCTATATTCCAAACTATTCTTTCCTTCCCAAACTAACTCAGAAAATCCATACAGTATTTACTAAATACTCTGTTATAGAAACTGTTCTAAATTCTGAAACAATACTAGTGCTGTCTGCCCTCATAAAAATAAGGTTTTTTTTTTTTTTAAATACTGTTAACTATAATAAAGGTCAAGGGTACTGGCTCAGGCTGCGGAAACAATCCCCTACAATAGAAATTAGCAGTTACATGTGTTGGCTTGAATGAGCATGGAGTTCAGGAGGACTGGTCGACAGAGGTTAACTCTTAAAGAAAGGAAAAGATAGGAGATGGTCGCACAATAGTGCCTTGAGAGACTCAGGACGAGGCAGGAGGGAAATCTCGTGTGTCAAAGGTTTCTATACTAACAGTAAATTGTAGAGGTTGATATTGAGGAATCACATGATTTTTGTGGATGTTATTTTAAGCATCAGTTTGGTTGCTGTGTGCATACCAAACTGACAAATATAGACAAAGTTGAGAATTACTTAAGAACCATATAGAATGTTTGAATGGATGTGGAATTATGCAAAAATAATCAAAGATGACCAACATTAACAAATAAAAGTTCAGATTTTTAGAGAATTCTATGATTTAGGTATTATAGAAAAGATGTTATTTTAAAAAAGGATTTTTTTTTTAGGGGCTGGAGATTTAGTTCAGTGGCATAAGCACCTGCCTGGCTAGCACAAAGTCATGAGTTCAATCCTGAGTACCAAAAAAAAAAAAGAGTACTTTCTTAAAAAATGATTTTTTAAAATAAGAAAAGGCAGATAATCAGAAATCTTGGACAATGCCTATTCTCTTCACTTTATTATCTGCACATGTCATGCAGTTTTTAGTATAATTTGATTAACAGCATATAGTAATATTTGTTACCTATCTTCTATTTAAGTTTATTTTGTAAAGTGGTTCTCAAACTTAGCTGTACACTATAAATGTATATATATATATATATATATAATGCTAAGGTCTGGATTTTCCTGCTAGATTTTCTGACATACTTGGTACTTGGCCTGAGCATTAGTTGAGCATTAAAGTTTCTAAAAAACATTCTAGGCCAGGCATATAGCTCAGTGACACAGCACCTACCTGGCAAGTGCAAGGTCTTGAGTTTGAGTTCTAGTATTTAAAATCAAAAAAACAAAAACAAACAAACAAAAAAAAACCCCACTCTAATTGGTCCTGATATGCAAAACTTGGAACTATTTCTCTAGGAGGATTATTCCCATCAGTGAGAATTTTTAGAAAATTGAATTAGGATAGCTTCATTGAGTATGAAATGAAGCCAATAATCTGCTACATTGAATACTTGAGAAATATGACAAAGATTTCCAATTGTCCAAAAATATTTTCACCTTAATCCCCAGAAACCAGTGTTTCATTTGGGAAGATGGAAGATACTGCTAAAATTCTACATTTTCCAGCAACTATTGCAGTCAAATGTAGCATATGAATATATTTTAGTCAATAAGATGTAAATAGATGATTCCTAAAGGAAAATGATTAATCTTGGAGAATATCTTATTTATTTTCCTTCTTTTCTCTCTCTGCTGCATGAAATATAATTTGATGACTAAAGTTCCAACAATTGTATTTGACTTATAGGTAGCTTTAAAGACATTTCAGAGTTTGAATGAAAAACAGAGGGATTGAGTCCCTGAATACAATGAAACCACAATTTGGAACCAGCTCTGGATAATGTGTGTCCACATCTCTTTGTCTAATCTACAAGGCTTTCCTTGTTACCTAGATATGCCCCATGATCATGGATGTTGCAATAAATGACTTTGAGTAGCAATGGTTGCTAGATGAAAGGCAGGAAACAATAAAGAATGATGGGAAAGAAACATGTGATTCTTTAAGAATATGTGCAAGGACAATTTTGCTATGAAAATGAAATAAATGCCTTTTCGTCTCATAGCAATACTTTTAATCTCAGGATCTCAGATTTCAGATGATACTATTAGAATTAGGGTTAAATTTATTATGTTAGACTGAAATTCTCAGCATAGTTTAGCAGATTGTTTCTATAAAAGATATATTCTTACTCTAAACAATTGTGCTTTTAATACTGAAACAAAACTATTTAAACTAAAAAATTTTGTATAGACCAGACTAAATATAAACATTTTTTGTATAATACCAATAATTATGAATGTATCTCTCTCTAATAAACATATCTGTGTCCAAATTTTTAGTCATACTCTTCACTCAGATATGATGCTTATATTTTAAAATGTAATCTCTGATACTTCAGTGTATATTAGAGTTTAGGTTTATATTTACAAAGTTACTCCTTGTACAAAGTACTTTGCACAAGGAAAAAATTAATCATTCCTATCTTCATTTCTGCATAACAGCACTGATTTGACAACAAAATTTATTATCTATTATAATTAATTATACACAAGTCTGCTTCTACTGCTGTGTCATGAGGTATTAACATTCATGAGAATTTGCTGGGAAAAAAAGAATTTTCTGTTAGAATAATGTTATGTGATATATGAGGCAGGAATCCTTTTGCTAGCTAAGAGAATTAACTCAAGTGATACATTTATTTTAAAAGCTTTTCTTTTGCTCCATTTTTCTACTATTCTGATTAATCTTTTTCGTATTTTAAAAAGAAAAACAAAAAAGAATACAAAGGATATAGAATTTTGAAAAAGTAGGAAATTAACACTAGTTAATATATTGCATATTGCTGTCTTAGAAGTAGTTGTTCAGATTACAAGACCTACGCACAAAAAATGATCAGTCAAACAATGACAGCATAAACTGCTCATTTTGATGAACTAACAGAGATTAGTAGTATAGTTATCTATCTTGGAAACATATAATTCTTAATCATTTTTTCTTAAACATAATTAGCACCTTAATTTCTTTAGGATAACATATACCATTATTTTTTGTGTCAAATATATCCATGAAATCTTCATATGCAACCCATTAACATCCTGTGTGAAGCAAAGAAAGCTAATGAGGTTTATGTGTTGAAGAAATATGCATGAGGCATGCCTCAAATATGATACCATTATTTTCATAAATGTAACTGAATTTATACATTAAAATAATTTTTTCCATTTAATGTGTACCACTCAGAAAGCTTTATGTTTAGTCTAATAATACCACCATTGCTCAAGATATTCTTGTAACTATTCTCTTGGGATAGCAAATACTACCATTGCTCAAGATACTCTTGTAACTATTCTCTTGGGAGAGCAAATTAGACTCTCACTAGAGTTATAATTATTGAAACTTTTAATTGAAGGACATACTACAATTTCAAAAATAGATGTGCACCATCACTATTTGGAAAGCCTACAAAAATATTATTCAATGGACTGAACTCAGAAGATTTTGACTCATTATTCTGTGGTGGGGTGTTATAGTGTGCTGAAAGAGCCCCAACTTAAACCTCATGTAATCATGGGTGGCGCTGAATCTGACATTTAGGATTAGTTTGTTGTCTGGCACTGGTATTGGTGGTGTGAAGGTGTGAGGGCTACACTCACCCAGAGGAGGGTCAGGGATATAGTGTAAGGGAGGGGCAGAAGGTATGGTTTTTCTCTTCTGCCAATGGTTTACTGTTTACTGTGGCCCCACCATTCCGTCTTGCTGCTTGGAGCCAGCTGAATATGGACTGAGACCTCCAAAATTGTAAGAAATAAACCTTCGCTTCCCTAATTTTGGGTGTTAGGTATTTTTTCTCAACAATGAGAAAAAAGTAACCAAGACAGAATATGGTACCAGAGGAGTGGGATGCTGTGACTCTATCTGGCCATGTGGTTCAAAAGCCTTTGGCAGTGGCTTATGGAAAGAGTCTGGAAAGGTTTGGAGATGTTGTCTAAATGCATAGAGCTGTAACAGCTTGGGCTGTTCTGTAGGGGAGATTCTGGTCAGAGCTCAGGAGACCAGAAGCCAGAAGACAGTGGTAACTGCATGGTCCACTCTAGTTTAATGTCGTTGCAGTCCATTTTTCTCTTTTCTTATGTTCATAACCCTTGCTCCTTTCCTTCCCCCCTCCCTCCCTCCTTCGTTTCTTTTTTCACTTTTCTTTATTTTCCTTGTTTCCTTCCTTCTTTATCCTTCTCCTTTTTCCTCTCCCTTTCTTTCTCTTCTCTACCTCCCTCTTCTTTCTTCTTTCCTTATCCAAATATATTACACAGAGATCAACCTTCAGGTTTACAAGTCTATCTCCTGATACTATACCACTGCATGTTAAGTTGCTCCATTGCTCTAACATCTATATTTTGGAGGAATAGTGTCCTTCCTAACATGGATCATGTTGTATCAAGTCTCATAATCTGGAGGCAGTGGTAACTTTGTTATCATACAAATTTAAATTCCCTGTGATTAATGCCCCTAAAATGTGCATCAGCCTACAAACATCTAGTAATTGATCCTAAATTTCTGCTTTATTCTCTTTTAATTACTAGGCATTTTTCATTAAACATTTTCTTTTTTTTTTTTTTTACTTATTTCCTTCACAGTGTAATAGTAAGCTTATAGAAGTATATGTAGAGGTTCACTAAGAAGCTAAAGTGTAAATTTTATAGATTGCTTAGGAGTTTAATTGATTTAGAATAATATTGCATTTCAGTTTAAACAATCTTATTCATAGTTTCCTCCTAACAAGCATCTTCTGATTCTGTGAAGATGGAAATCATTACTTTTTTTCTAAAATTCAATTAAACCATACATTAGCAAACCATGCCTGATGTTCTAAGATGGTTTGGATAGCTAAACCATCTCTTTCTCTTCCCCTTTCTCTCTTGATCCATAATTTCAGGGTCTTTGGAATAATCCACAATTTCACAGCTTGAACTTATATGAATTGAAAATATAACAGTTTTTTAAAAG